GGTGGCCTTCTACAGTGGGGTTACAGCATTGGTGGATAAGGGAAGAGCAACTGAAATTATCCACCTGGACTTGTGCAAAGCATTTGATACTGTCCCGCATGACATCCTTGTCTCTAAAGTGGAGAGACATGGATTGGACAGATGGACCGCTAGGCTGGATGGCCACACTCAAAGAGTTGTGGTCGACGGTCAATGTCTGGGTAGAGACCAGCGACGAGTGGCATTCCTCAGGGGTCTGCACTGGGACCAGTATTATTGAACATCTTTGTCGGGAACATGGACAGTGGGATTGAGCACACCCTCGGCAAGTTTGTGGATGACATCAAGCTGAGTTGGTGCTCTAGAGGGAAGGGCTGCCATCCAGAGGGACCTTGGCAGGCTTGAGAGGTGGGCCTGTGCAAACCTCATGAGGTTCAACAAGGTGCAGGGTCCTGCACGTGGGTCAGGGCAATGCCTGGTATTGATACAGGCTGGGGATGAAGGGACAGAGAGCAGCCCTGCCGAGAAGGACTGGGGATTACTGGCGAATGAGAAGCTGGACATGAGCCAGCAATGTGCGCTGGCAGCCCAGCGAGCCCCCGGCATCCCGCTGCGCTCTGGGGAGACCCCCCTGCAGTGCTCAGCAGCTTAAGTGCAGGAGAGTAGTCTTGGTTGTGTTTTGTTGCTTGAAAAGGTACTAAGTTTGTGTTCTTCTTCCTGGCTCTGTCTCCCAGATGGTGGGAATTGGAACGTCAGACGTGAATCTGGACAAGTACCGCCACACCTTCTGCAGCCTGCTGGGCAAGGACGAGGACAGCTGGGGACTGTCCTACACAGGTGACTCAGGCAGGACAGTGGGCAGGATTGCTGGAAGGGCAGCAGCGGGCACAAATTTTGTCCTGAGGGGTTGAGAACTAAATGGTCTGAAGGGGATCGAGGCCAAAAAAGCCACCAGACCTGTGAGTCCCTTCGTTAACGACCACTGGAGCGGCTGCCTGCAGTTCGCACCTCTTGGAGCACTGCGCCTTGCCTGCATTTTGCAGACGCCTTAGAACCGGTGCATGAACTCCAGGGTGCCTGGACTGCTGGTTGCATGTCACCGATTGGGTGTTCGGTGCCACTACCTGCACTCTGGTATTGCAAAACTTTCGCTTTTCCCCTTTCCATCGCCCACTCTGGGGTGGGAGGGCAGGGATCAGGCAGCAAAGGGATTTTTTTAGGCACTGAGCGAGGCTCTACCAGCAGGAATTTGCAGTGCGGGCATTGAGATGAATTTGTGGAGTGCAGGCTTTCCACTGAATGTCGTTTTTTATGTTTTAAGGACTACTGCATCACAAGGGAGACAAAACAAACTTCTCTTCGAGGTTTGGCCAAGGCTCCATCATCGGGGTGCATTTGGACACGTGGCACGGGACGCTGACGTTCTTCAAAAACCGCAAGTGCATAGGTAAGAGGAGGGGCAGCCACAGGCAGAGGGACCGGGAGGGAGGAGAAAATGCTGGCAAAGGAGAAGACCAGGGCATGAAGCGAGCAGGAGGGAGGTAACATTGTTGTTTCATAGATTGGGCTTTCAAAAGGCTGTTTTCCAAGTGTTTACCAACAGCTCTGTCGTGAATGGGTTCAGGGTAACTGGGAGGAGTGAGATCACCTCCTCACAACTAGTGTGACACCCCCTTGGTGCTGTCCCCTGGCAGGCGTTGCAGCTACGAAGCTGCAGAACAAGAAGTTTTATCCCATGGTGTGCTCAACGGCGGCCAAGAGCAGCATGAAGGTGATCCGCTCCTGCGCCAGCTGCACGTCCCTCCAGTATCTCTGTTGTTACCGCCTGCGCCAGCTCCTGCCTGACTACGTGGACACGCTGGAGGTGCTGCCGTTGCCACCAGGACTCAAGCAGGTGCTACACAACAAACTGGGGTGGGTCTTGAGCATGAACTATAGCATGTCGAAGCCTTCCTCCTCCTCCTCCTCCTCCTCGGGAAGCGACTCAGATAGCTCCTGTGGCTCAGACGCAGAGGCCTGCCAAAGGAAGAGGTGCAGGAGGACATAATGTCTCTGCAGACGAACTGCTGTGAGGGAGTTGGGTGGGGTTTTGTTCCGCCATCTGCGAGGGCTGGTCAGGCCTGATGCACCTCTTTCTTCACGGGGACTTCCATTTCTACTCGTTTGCAAAGATTTCTTTTAGGCTGTTGGAAATCTTTAGGCTGAACATTCATCACATGCATTGAAAAGACCTGTTGACTCCAAGAGGTCCCAGCTCTGTGAAACAGGTAAACTGCAGCCAAATGTTTGAGCTTCATCTCCTGACTTGCTATCAAAGCCATCGCCTCTTCCTCAAGGATCCCTCTGCTCTGTAGACTGTCAGCGGAGACAAGATTTAAGGCGGCCTCCTGGTTTCAAAGCGTACTAGACTCTAGTCAAATAACAGACTTGACTCCTCCAAAGACAAAATGAAAGACCAGCCCCCTCCTCCTAACTGCTGTGTGTTGGTTTGGTGTCTGCCATGAACTCGTCACACTGTGGGGCATGATCGCGCAGCAGCACGTAGGGAAATGGGCTCCTGGAGGGGCATCTGTGTCGCTGCTGTGAAAGAGCAGTTAATTACACGAGTTGAGCTGTTGGCGATCTCTCTTGAGCCCCCGATGACTTTAGTTGCTTTGCATGTTGGTTCCTGCCGCTTCTCCTGTATCAAAGACTGTATTAAACTGTAATGATAAAAGCAGAAACTGTCTTTCATTCCTCTTACAGCCCTTGAAGGCAGGAATCTGGAGGCGCTTGTCAAAAATCACCACGCTGGCACAGCCAGGCTGGAGGGGTGTTTTAAAGCAAGGCTGGTGTGTCAGATCTAGAGGAGGTGAAGGCAGTGGGGATCACCCCGCCTCTGCCCCAGGGGGGGTTCTTGTGGTTCCTGCTGGAACACCGGTGTGGCTGGGATGGATCTGCAGCGGAGCCAGACTGGCACCTGTGGGTGTGTGCTGTCTGGGGGGCTGCAGGGTTTTGTAATGCTGGTCCTCTGGGACAAACAACCCCAAAACCCCAGCCTGGAGGCTGAGAATCAGCGCAGCCTCTGCCCAGGGCAGCCCCTCGCTGAGACTTCTCAGTCGTGCAGAGGGAAATGCTGGATTTAGAGCCTGGGTGAGCGACTAATCCAGCAGCGGCCTGACACTGCTGCCAGCAAATGGCAGGCAGCACTGCCTGCCTGCTCTTCTGCGTTCGAGCTACCCTCTGATTTTTGACAGGCAAGAGGGAGGGCAAAGCGCTTTAGCTGCTGCTTGGGGACGAGGACACAAGCACGGGCTGGGAACAAACCGTGCAGCAGGAGGAGGGCTGGGGTGCTTAAGTGGTGCTCACTGCCTGGTTTCCGTTGCGCTGCTGGGACAGGCTGGTTTGGGGGGCCCATCCCACAGCTGATCCAGCCCCAGGCCACTTCAATGGCCACATTCGGCAGCTCCGCTTCCTCCTGTTTGTACCCCTCGATGCCAAAGCGGCAGCGCTGCGAGAGCCGACGGGTAGGGACAGGAGGAGCATGCTGACAGGGAGCACAGCACCACGGGCTCATGGCAGCCCAGCCACAGACCCATGGGGGTCTGCCACCCCTGCAGCACCCGGTGCCAGCACCGTTCCAGTCCCTGCGGGTTTTTGACCGCTTTCTCCCGGCCTCGGAACTCTTCTCCAGTGAGCAGTGTGTTTGCGGATGGCTTCGATCTGAGTTGGTGCCATCAGCCAAGTGCAAAAGGTGTTGGAGAGGGAAGAGGGTTGAAATAAATCAGATGAGAAATGGTGTTTAACCTGTCCTCTCGATGGGTTTCCTCCCAGCACGGTCACTGGGAACAAAAAGCTCCCACCGCTGCCTTTGTCCTGCTCCTATTCCAGACCTGCAAAGGCTCTGGTAAAGCTTTTTGCACCACATGTGTTTATTCCCCGCCGAACCCCATGACTCGGTGCCTTCCCTTTCCACATCACCAGTCTTTAAGTGAAGGTGGCTCTCACTTCTCTGGTGATGGGCTTCACGTGAGAACTTGATCGAGTAGAACAGGCTCTCTGTCAATCCCTCTGTATTGGTGCTGCAGCCAGAAAAAAACAGCCTTGCTGTATTGCTGCTCCCCAGGAACTAATTCCAGGATTAGCAGATGGAGGTAGAAGAACCCCTGGCAGGGAGGAGCTTTCCTTTGGAGGGTGCCCTCCTGCTTCTGCAGCACCAGTTGGCATTGCTTTGAGCTAGCGAGCTGCTGTTCGTGGGAGGAAATTCAGGGGCTTCTGTGTCACTGCGGAAGGCCCCAGTTAGCAATACCAAAACCACAGACACTGGGGAGTCCCTGACCCCTCCTGTCCTGCCTGTGGCTATTTCTGAGTAAAAGAAAATGTAGCGTTTGCTTTGGGAAAAAAGAATCCCATCCTAACCCACCATTTCACATGGAGTTTTCTGGAGCTTATCCAGCATTTCTTCATGTTGGGAGTTCAGCCAACAAACTCCCCTCCCCTGAGCTCTGTGTTACCCCAAGGATGTGGTTCCTCTCTGGCCAGCTGGTTCTGACAGTTGGCAAACGTTTTCCTGAAGTAACTCCAGCTGGACCCAGCTGCCTGAGGGAGCCACCAGCAGGACCTACAGTACCAGGTCCATTCTTATCAAGGAGCCAGTGGGGAGCAGGACGTTAAAAGTCAGGACACACTGTAAAAAAAATAACATGGCTCGTTCAACAAGTTGCCTGAAAGGCAGCGCAGGACAGCCTCAGCAAGCGGCTGTCTCGGCATCAGAGCTGATCCCGTGCTGCTCAGGGACACCTCACTATCACTTTCACATCCAGCCCCTGTTTGAACCATTCCCCAGCTCTCTTAGGAGAAAGGCAGCTTTCCAGCTAGGGGGATAGAAAGCTGGGGGAGCTAAAAGAGGAAAGGAGAGCCGAGAGGCTGAAGAAAGCATCTGTAACAAGACATTTATTGATGTGCAGGTTTCTGTTCTGCAACAAGAATCAGCTGCTTCCCCCTGGCCGGGCTCCCGGCCATGCTGCTGTGCCAGCCGCAACTCAGCCACTGCCGCATCTTGGCAGATAAAACCAGGAGGCTGAGCGGCATGGCCACAGTCCCTCTGTGCTCAGGTCCAGGATGAGGTCGGGGTCGGTGGATACCACGAAGAGATAGATGCAGCGGGATAACTCTGGCCCAACATGGCGGTCTTTCCCACTGACATCTGATTTCAGTGGGATGTCACTCAGCAGAAGTTTTTTTCACCTTCTGTGCTGCGTTCTTTGTAGGCCTTTGAGCACACAAGAGAAGGAAGCAAGCAGTTAGCAGAGATGCTGGAAGAGAAGACTTGTCTCCCCTGCAAGGCTCCATCCCATCGTTAACAGTGAGGATTCATGACTGAGCCTTCACCAAACATACCAGGATCCAAGATAAAACTCAGAAGAAACAAGATCTATCACTTTTAAACAGACCCCACGGACACTCAGAGTTGTGTGTTGCCCCTCCAGCACACAGGAGAGAGCCACAAAGCCAATTCTTCTGAAGCAGTTATGCTGGAGACAGAGGTCAAAGCTCCAGTGGAAGAAAAACGAGAGGAGAGTATTGACTACTTGACACTCTTCTTAAAAAGTTCTGTCTAGATCAGTTCCTGATCTAATGGAAAGAGTTTATGTCATTAATGCTCAGAACAAGCACTTGCTGTTAAAAATGTGTCTTCGTGAATTGGCTCAGCTGCTGTCAGAGGGTTAGACAGCATCCTACTCTAATCCTGCTCCCCGACACCTCGCTGAGCCAGTCTAGCTCGCTGTCCTGGTTTGAGGTAAAACAGGACCAAGTTTGTTCAGTAACTTTGCCTCTTAGCTGGGCCTCTTCTAACTACTGAAATTAACAGCACATTGTGCAGATAATGTGGGCTCTCTCAGAGTGATAAGAGCTATGTTTATAGGTGATGCCCAGGCATGGTATGCAGAGAGGCTCCTGCTTATACCCATTGCTCCAACACCCGAGGGCAGCTCGCTCTGTTATTTGCCCCCTTGGAGGGTGGGAAACGGAAAAGCGTAGAGGGGTCCCACCTGTGGGGAGGAGCGGACAGGACGGGTGACCCAAAACTGACCAACGGGGTATTCCATCTCATCTGCCTTGTGCTTAGTATAAAAGCTGAGGGATCAAAGGGTCAGCTCTCTCTCTCTCTTTCTTCAATGACTGATGTCTGAGGAGGAGTCTGTATGTTCGTCTGCCTTTGATCCCAATCCTGAATGCAGATCTGGAATCCAGTTCCCATCCATCACCGAGTCCTGTCTGGGACTTCCCCAGTGCCAGTCAGTGTGGTGATTGTCATCCTGGGACCTTGATACGGTTTTGTACATATTTCATTATTTCCTTTTTTATTTTATTATTAATATTGCATTAAAGTAGTTCCTTCTAAACTCATGTCTCTTTTTCCCTCCTCTGCCTCTCTCTTCAAAGAGGCGTAGGGGGGAGCATCTGTTGGTCCCATCTGGGGTCCCCCATGTGCCCAGTAGTCAATTTGGCCTAAACCACAACACTCAACAAACCAGCAGAAAGCTAAGGGGAGTGGGGAGAGGGAACGTTTAGTGAGCTACATCAGCTCCCTGAAGGGTCAGACAACAGAAGAGCAAGGAAAGCACCGGGTATGCCACTGGTGACAGCAAGTGCTACGAGAACTCAGGTGTCCTGTGGCCATCCCTCACAGTCGTAGGGGTGACACGGGTTTTCTGCTTGAGGGTGACATAGTGTTGCCAGACTGTAGCAGCAGCCACCTGAGACGTCACACATTTCAAACAAAACCAAGCAAAGCTGACAGACGGACCACATTTGACGAGGGCAATGGGAGGCATCCAACAGACGCTCAGCTGCACTGGCTGGGGTGTGCAACCAAATGTACCACCAGGCAAAAATGCAAACACGCTTTGAGAGGGTCCTGTGAGGTGGGACGGCAGGGAGAGGCCTGGGACCACTAAAAGAAGGGTCAGTAGCTACTGCTGAAACAAAATCTATGGTTCAAGTCACACACCCATCTGGAGACAAGCCTTGCCTTTCCAGAAAGCCAATTTCACACTCGGGACTTGTTTGCTCAAAGACCTTTAAGGGAGGAAGCACGTGGCACCCCTCCGTGCCTTCATCCTCCGGGCTTTTCACAGGACACGGAGAGTTTGAGGGCTTACCTGTAACAGGAGGCTTGGGGAGGGATGTGCTTCTGCTATAGCAGGGCTGACTCAGTTAAACTGCTGGAGTTGTCTCTTCCACACCTGCCAGAGTCCTGTGCTGTCCTCCACTCGCACCCCGCTGGCCCAGGCCCCATCAGCGCAGAAAGGGAACTCGTGCGACTCCAGCTGCCTCCTGCGGAAAGACAGACTGCTGAAGCAAGATCTGGGGCACTAAGCACAGGCCTGCAGACCCCAGACACTGCACCCTTCCCCTAGTGTTAAGCAGTGGGCTTCCTTCTAAAATCTCTTTCTGCCCAGGACTAATATTTTTTTCCCCCTTCACGATTTTCTTTCCTTCCCTGGAAAGCTCCAGAACACCTTGGTGAAAAGGTTTTCCTAAGGCCATCATTTTCGCTCCTTTCCTAGTGCTGAATCACCACTACACTCACCATGAGAACAGAGGATTTTCATCAGCACAGACCGAAAATGATCTTGAGACACATCTAGTCCAGGCCCTTACACTGACAGCATCAAGGACAGGCTGGCAGCCACAGATAAATAGAATCACAGAATGGTTTGGGTTGGAAGGGACCTTGAAGATCATCCAGTCCCACCCCCTGCCCTGGGCAGGGACCCCTCCCACCAGCCCAGGTTGCTCCAAGCCCCGTCCAACCTGGCCTTGAACACCTCCAGGGATGGGGCAGCCACAGCTTCTCGGGGCAACCTGCCCCAGGGGCTCACAACCCTCAGAGTGAAAAATTTCTTCCTGATATCTAATCTAAATGTCCGCTCT